CCCCCCAACCCCTTTGTTGCTACAGAATTTAAGATTCAGTATCAAAATAAAAAAAGGTGGAGCCTTTCTTTTCATATAAATAAGGAAAGAAGAGATGGGGGGAAAAAAACCGTGCCAGAGCCAGTCCACTTGAACAAACTACGTTTTACCTGTGCTGTGTCAATTGGTTAGGGCTTGAACGATGGATAGGGTTAGGGTTAGGTTCGGATTGTTGATTGTTGTAGACTAATAGACCGCCAAGTGGACTAATCGTCCGACTGGTCCGCTGGTAAGCTATCAAGTAAAACTGTCAACTAGACTAGCACCACTAAAACAAAGAACCAAACAAAAATACTGAAGTTGTTTTGTTTTGTTGTTGTTTTTTTGCGGTGGAATAATACGAAAATGTCAAACATTAATGATTGACGATGCAGAAACGTTTAAGGCCGATTCTATAAACTGCGCAATAATATCCCTGAGTCAGAAATCAGTTTCAAAGCTTTGTGGTGTGATAACTGGCATTACTCCACTACTGACAATACATGTATCGCATTTAACATTTAAAAAAACAGAGAGGTGTACTTTTCACCTGCAGAAAAAGAACGCATCAGCTGCCTACAAATTTCGAAGAAGAAATAAAAATAAAAAACCGCCAGATATAGCACATTACCTCCTCGTGGATTTATTTTTATTTCACTACGATTATCACTTTCATTATTAAAAAAAAAAAAAAAAAAGAGCAACCACATACTTTTTAAAAAGGTGGAAAAAAATCACCTGTGCTCTTTTATTATAACAGCTTTCTTCACTTCTCCCCCTGTTATCCCACTCCGACCCCCCTTTTTTTTTTGGCGTCATTGGGGTCCCGCCGGGACAAACAAAATACATGTAAATGTGTAGAATACACCGACTAATGTTTTATTGTCAATAACACAGAGGTCGCCAACAAGAAAGCCGGGGGAGGGGGAGGGGGATAAATAATGTAATCGAATCGCCCTCCCCGTGGGCCTATTTGTATGGTTCACGCTCACGTAAAGAACGCGCGGAGCAGAGGGGCACAAGGCATAGGCAGGTGACAATAAAACACGTTTAATCGGTGCTGGGTCTGATTTTGGGGAGTTCTTTCTCTCCTGAAAATAAAAAGCCACTATCATAATCCTTTACGGGGGGCCGAGAGAGCCACTTAGTGGAGACAGAGCGGCTATGTGCGTTTTTGGGGAAGGGGTTGGGGGATTGGGGGGAG